CTACAGACGTGGCAGAGTGACTTTATGGGACATGAGCTTCATTTAAAGGGGAAGTTTTTGCCTCCTAATACCACTCCTTCCTGCAGCCCATGGACCAGCAGGTTATTGCAAACTTCAAAAAACTGTACACAAAAGCTCTTTTTGAAAGGTGCTTTGTAGTGACCTCAGAAACTCAATTGACTCTAAGAGAGTTTTGGAGAGAGCACTTTTAAAATCCTCAATTGTGGAAACCTTATAGGTAAAGGGTTGGGAGGGAGTGACTAAGAGGACCTTGAACTCTGCTTGGAAGAAACTGTGGCCAGAATGTGTAGACCAAAGGGATTTTGAAGGGTTTCAGGCTAACCCTGAGAATCCTATGCCAGTTGAGGAATCCATTGTGGCATTGGGAAAGTCCTTGGGGTTGGAGGTTAGTGGGGATGATGTGGAAGAGTTGGTGGAGGAGGACAATGAAGAACTAACCACTGATGAGCTGCTAGATCAACCTCAACAGCAAGAGGCCAGACCTGAGGAAACTGGTTTGGAGGAGGGGAGAGAGAAATTGAAGAAGTTGCCTACTTCAAAGATTTAGGAAATGTGTGGAATGTGGCTTAAAGTGCAAACCTTTTTTGATGACAATCACCCTAACACAGCTATTGCAAGCCATGTTGGTGACTATTACACTGACGCTGTTGTGAAACACTTTAGGGAAGTCATAAAGGAACGAGAGGTACAGGCCACTATGGACAGATATGTTGTGCGACAGAAGTCCAGTGACTCTGAAGCTGGTCCTAGTGGCATTAAAAGAAGAAGGAAAGTAACCCCAGAAAAGGACTTGACACCTCAAGTCTTAATGGAAAGGGATTCCCCTTCTAAACACAAGACTTCTCCTCCTCCCATCCCATCAATCATCACCAGATCTTCAATAAAGGTAAGTGTCATGTAACTGTGCATGCCTTTTTCAGTTTGTGTGTATTAAAATTAATATTTCATGTGGTAAAAATTTTTTTTTTATACTTTGGGGTGTCTTGCACGGATTAATTTGAAATTTTCCCTTATTTTACGAGAAAAATTTATCCCTAACATAAAATTTCGCATAACAATGACTCTCAGGAAAGGTTAAAATCGTTATGCAGGGGGGCCATGTATATTTCACAGGTCTCCTCCTTGCGAGGGTTAGGGGATCAAGACCTCGAAATGTTGAAAAAGGGAAAGTTTGGTGCCCAATATATTGTAGGGAAATATAATCAATACTGCTTTCCCTTTCTTGTTAAACCATGAACAATCATAAATACTGAAAACGTCGTAAATTGTACTAAATATATACATGTTATTAAATACCACAGACTCCCCCCACTGCCTCCTTCACTGCCTCCCCACTGCTCCACCCCTGCGAGTTCCTACTACCCCCTTTCCCCCCCTGGGGTTGTTGGGGGTGTTTTGTTTGTTTTTTTGCAATTAAACTCAGTTAAATAATGAAAACCCTTCTGACTGCATTTTGGGAATGGTATTGGGAAAGGTTTTAGACGGTGACATGTGTTTACTCTTAACACAGCAAAGAATCGAAATTTCTGTATGCTAAAATAACAATAGTAATAATAATAATATAATAATAAAATGATATAATTGAAAGAAAAAATTGTACAAAAATACGGGGAGGGTTGACACTTATCAGTGTAGTTTTGTTTATGTGGAGTGAGCTTGTTTTTCTTTTCCAAAATTTCACAATAATTCAGCGGTTTTGGGGAAAGTGGTTTTAAAATAACTTTATAAAAGGTCCCCCTAAACATTCGCGGGGTTAGGGGTCAAGGCCTCGTAAATGTTGAAAAACCGTGAATTTTTGGTCCCCAAAATATATTGTAGGGAAATATATTTTCAAAAATTTTTCCTTTAAATTGTTGAACCTGAATAATATAAAAAAACATGAAAACGTATAAATTGTACTAAAAATTACATGTTATGCTTTTAAAAACGTATGTTATTTATAACATGATGTTTTTAATACCACAGACTCCACCACTGCGATCCCTACTCCCTCCCTCCGACCCCGCAAATGGCAGCCACCCCCCCACCATTCAGTGTGGTGAGTGTTTTGTTTGTTTATTATTTTCTATTAAAACTACGAATAAAAAATGTAAACCCCTTCATGACGCAATTGGAATGGTTTAGGAAAGGGATTAACATGACATCAAAGTGTTTTTCTCTTGAACACAGCAAAGAATCGAAATTTTTGCTATTGCAAAAAATAAAACAGTAAATAATAATAATAATAAAATAATAATAATAAAATAAAAAATAATAAAAATAATAAAAATACATTAATTGAAGAAGGAAATTTACAAAAATACGGGGAGTGGTTGAAACCCTCGTCGTGTACTTTGTTTTTTCTGGGGTGAACATTAGTTCCTGCCTTCCAAAAAATTTCACAATAATTCGCGTTGAGGCAGTGGTATTTAATAACATATATGTTATAAATAATAAGAGTACATGTTTATTATAATAAACAAGCAATATTATTAACATATTGTATTTAATAACATATATGTTTATAAATAATAAATAGTACATATTATTAATAACATGTATTATTATTTTAACATGTATGTTATTAAATACCATTCCCCCCTCAATCCCACTGCCTCTACACTCCAGTCCTCACTCAATCTACAAGCCCCAAACACAAATGATTATTGTGAAATGGTTGGAAGTAGCAGGGAGACTCATGTTTCACTCAGCAAAAAACAAAGTCACACTGACGATGTGTCAACCACTCCCTCGTATTGTTTGTACAATTTCCATTCTTTCAATAAATCATATTTATTATTATTATTATTAGATTATTACATTGTTATTATTAGCTGTTTAGCAGAAATGATTAATTCTTTGCAGTGTTCAAGAGTAAACACATGATGTCACCGTCTAATACCTGTCTGAATAGCCATTCCAATATGCAGTCATGAATGGGTTTACATTATTTATACTGTAGTTTAATAGCAAATAATGAACAAACAAAACACTCACCACACTCAGTGGTGGGAGGGCTGGCTGCCAGTTGCGGGGGTCGGAGGGAGGGTAGTTAGGACTTCGCAGGTGGCGGGAAACTTAAATATGATTTGGCGGCTGGGAATTTGGTGGCAGGGAATTTGGCGGTTGGGAATTCGCGAATGTGTGAAGCCTGTGAAAGTTGAAAATGTGAATGTTGAGGGAGACCTGTATGTTATAAATAATAATAGTACATGTTACTATTAATAACATGTATTATTATTATTAACATGTATGTTATTAAATACCATTGCCCCAACCACTGCCTCAATTGCTGCCTCAACAGCTGCCTCAACCACTGCCTCAATTGCTGCCTCAATAGCTGCCTCAACCGCTGCCTCAACCGCTGCCGTCAACCCTGCCTCAACCGCTTGGCCCTCAAACCGCTGCCTCAACCGCTGCCCAACGCTGCCATCGAACTGCTGCCTCAATCACTGCCTCAACACTGCCTCAACAGTCGGCCACAACCACTGCCTCACCACCACTGCCTCATCGCTGCCTCAATTGCTGCCTCAACAGCTCTCAACCACGGCCTCAATTGCTGCCTCAATACTGCCTCAACCACTGCCCCACTCACCGCTGCCTCAACCGCTGCCTCAACCGCTGCCATCAACCCTGCCCTTCAACCGCTGCCTCAACCGCGCCTCAACCGCTGCCTCAACCGCTGCCTCAACCGCTCCTCAACCGCTGCCTCAACCGCTGCCTCAACCGCTGCCTCAACCGCTGTCCTCAACTCTGCCTCACTCCGCTGCCTCAACCGCTGCCCCTCAACCGCTTCCTCAAACCGCTGCCTCAACAGCTGCCTCATCCACATCTCCAATTGCCTGCCTCAATCGCTCCTCAACCACTGCCTCAAATTGCCTGCCCTCAATCGCTGCCTCAACACTGCTCTACCACTCCAGTCACACCCAATCTACAAAGCAACAAACACAACAAATTATTGTGAATGTTGGAAGAGCAGGGAGACTAATGCTTCAAGCATTCCAGCATAAACAAAGCTACACTGACGATTGTGTCAACCACTCCCTGTTCCCCCCCCCACCCCCCCCCCCCACCGTATTTGCACAAATTTCCTTTCCTTATTCAATTATATCGATTTATATTTTTATTATTACAACTACTACCTTACTAGATGAGTGTTAGATAGCTGTAGCTGAAATGTTGATCTTTGCTGGTGTTCAAGAGTAAACCATGATGTCCACTGTCTAATACCTTTCCTAATAGCCATTCCAATATGCAGTCATGAATGGGTTTACATTATTTATACTGTAGTTTAATAGCAAATAATGAACAAACAAAACACTCACCACACTGAGTGGTGGGAGGGCTGGCTGCCAGTTGCGGGGGTCGGAGGGAGGGTAGTAGGGAATCGCAGGTGGCGGGAAACTTAAATATGATTTGGCAGCTGGGAATTTGTGGCTGGGAATTTGGCGGTTGGGAATTCGCAAATGTGTGAAGCCCGTGAAAACTGAAAACGTGAATGTTGAGGGAGACCTGTATATTTGTTGTAATCACAAACTAGTGGTATTTAATCAATAACAACACTGCGACTAGCTGAGGGATCAAACGCGTGTTGCTTTAGCCCACCCCATGGTGAGCAAAAATTCCACGACGCTCTAACCCACTGGACCATACAATCCTACAAGAATCACGCACCCAGCAGAACTAGGTGCGCCACTCACTGTAAAACAAACTTTTACTTAAATTCAAAGCAATATTTACACCCTGTTTTTTTCAGTCACAAATTTTCTTCATATATTTACCTGTAACATTAAATTCCCCCTTGAGAACCCTTTTTTTTGTGCCAAGAATTACTAACTTCAGTCATGCTATAGTGTACCAACTATACATAATCAAGGCTACAACATCCTATTAAAAGCTTCACACATTCTCCACTATTGACTTCATCTGTAACAGTAATGAAAAAATTGATGGAAAGAGAAAACTGATGGCCACTTAGAATTTGATAAAATAAAACTAACCTTGTGGGAAGACATGTCTGTATCTACATATCCAGGATGACAGTTGTTCACCACTATATCAGGACGAGAGTCAGCATCAAATGCTCGCTGCTGGACACGTGTGAGAGCTGACACTCCTACTTTGCTGACAACATAGCTGCCATTGGCCCATCCAGGCGTGCTTTCCACTTCCATCATTCGCTTTTCTGGGATGAAATATTTAGAAAACGAAATTACTATACGACACTCAATTCTATGGAACATCATAGATTACTTATTTTTGAGATAGTAATTATGCATTATACCTCATACAAATTAGTATATATGCATAAATTTTGTTCTATAAATGATTTGAAGGTATTGCTGCCTGATGCACCCATCAGTTTATGAATAAATTATAAAATATGCAAAAGAGTGAACACTATATAGCACTGCATAATGTCCCCGTAAAATTTTTTTTATAATCTCGAATCTGTCTGCTTATATAAATATACATACCTTATTAATTTATTTATTATTTATTATCACACTGGCCGATTCCTACCAAGGCAGGGTGGCCTGAAAAAGAAAAACTTTCACCATCATTCACTCCATCACTGTCTTGCCAGAAGGATGCTTTACACTACAGTTTTTAAACTGCAACAAATAACACCCCTCCTTCAGAGTGAGCAGGCTCACTGTACTTCCCATCTTCCAGGACTCAAGTCCTGGCCTTGCCCGTTTCCCTGAACCCCTGTCATAAATGTTTTACTTTTGCTCCACACTCCCAACAGCACGTCAAGTATTAAAAAAATCCATTTGTTCTCCATTCACTCCTATCAAACACGCTCCACGTCAATGTGCCTGCGGGAAGTCCAAGCCCCTCGCGACACAAAACCTCTTTACTTACCCGCCCTCCAACTTTCCTAGGCGACCTCTACCACGCCCGTCCTTCCACTACGGGAGATTGATACACTCTTGAAGTCATTCTGTTTTGCTCCATTCTCTCACATTCCGAACCACCTCAACAACCCTCTCTTCCACCCTCTGGACAACAGTTTTGGTAATCCTGCACCGCCCTTCCTAATTTCCAAACTACGAATTCCTGCATATATTCACACCAACCAAACATTGCCCTCGAGACAGACATCTCCACTGCCTCCAGCCTTCTCCTCGCTGCAACATTTCATCAACCCATGCTTCACAACCCATATAAGAGCGTTGGTAAAACATACTCTCATACATTCCCCTCTTTGCCTCCAAGGACAAAGTTCTTGTCTCCACAGACTCCTAAGTGCATCCACTCACCCTTTTTTTTCCCCTCATCAAATCCTATGATTCCCCTCATCTTTCATAGACCCATTCCGCTGACACGTCCACTTCCCAATATCTGAATACATTCACCTCCTCGCAATACCCTCTCCATCCAATCTGAAATCCACTTTTTCATCACCTAATCTTTTTGTTACCTCATAACCTTAACGCTTTCCTATATTCACTTTTATTTTCTTCTTTGGCATAACCCTACAAATTCATCCAACCAATCTCTGGCAACTCTCTTCAGAATCTCCAAGAGCTCAGTGTCATCAGCAAAGAGCAACTGTGACAACTCCACTTTATGTGTGTTTCTTCATTATCTTTAACAATCCAGGCCACTTGCAAGACCTCGCATTTCTTCTCTTACAACCCCATCTATAAATATATTAAACAACCACGGTGACATCACACATACCTTGTCTTAAGGCCTACTTTTACTGGGAAATAATTTCCCTCATCCTACATACTCTAACTTGAGCCTCACTATCCTCTTAAAAACTCTTCACTTGCTTTCAGTAACCTACCTCTACACCATACACCTGCAACATCAGCACATTGCCGCCCCTATCCACCCTGTCCTAACGCCTTTTCCAAATCCATAAATGCCAACAAAGACCTCTTAGCCTACAAATACTGTTCACTTATGTGTTTCACTGTACACACACGGTCCCCACCACACCCCCTACCTTTCCTAAAGCCTCCTTGTTCATCTGCTTCCTATTTCCTCTGTCTAACACTTAATTTCTTTCAATAATAACACTACCATACACTTTACCACGTATACTCAGCAGACTTACCCCCTATTAATGTTTGCCACTCTCTTTTGCCCCTTTGGCCTTTTGACAAAGGAAACTATGCATGCCTCTCTGCCCAATCCCTAGGTACCTTACCTCTTCCATACATTTATAATAATTGCACCAACCACTCCAAAACTCCATCCCCACCTCTTTTAAAACCATTTCTATCTTTATCCCATCAATCCCCCGCTGCCTTACCCCCCTTTCAGTTTACCTATGCCTCACGAACTTCCCCCACACTCACAACTGGCTCTTCCTCACTCCTACAAGATGTTATTCCTCCTTGCCCTATACACGAAATCACAGCTTCCCTATCTTCATCAACATTTAACAATTATTCAAAATATTTCCTCCATCTACCCAATACCTCTAACTCTCCATGTAATAACTCTCCTCTCCTATTTTTAACTGACAATCCATTTTGTTCTCTAGGCTTCCTTAACTTGTTAATCTCACTCCAAAACTCTTTCTTATTTTCAACAAAATTTGTTGATAACATCTCACCCACTCTCTCATTTGCTCTCTTTTTACATTGCTTCACCACTCTCTTAACCTCTCTCTTTTTCTCCATATACTCTTCCCTCCTTGCATCACTTTTACTTTGTAAAAACTTCTCATATGCTAACTTTTTCTCCCTTACTACTCTCTTTACATCATCATTCCACCAATCGCTCCTCTTCCCTCCCGCACCCACCTTCCTGTAACCACAAACTTCTGCTGAACACTCCAACACTACATTTTTAAACCTACCCCATACCTCTTCGACCCCATTGCCTATGCTCTCATTAGCCCATCTATCCTCTAATAGCTGTTTACATCTTACCCTAACTGCCTCCTCTTTTTGTTTATAAACCTTCACCTCTCTCTTCCCTGATGCTTCTATTCTCCTTGTATCCCATCTACCTTTTACTCTCAGTGTAGCTACAACTAAAAAGTGATCTGATATATCTGTGACCCCTCTATAAACATGTACACCCTGAAGTCTACTCAACAGTCTTTTATATACCAATACATAATCCAACAAACTACTGGCATTTCGCCCTACATCATATCTTGTATACTTATTTATCCTCTTTTTCTTAAAATATGTATTACCTATAACTAAACCCCTTTCTATACAAAGTTCAATCAAAGGGCTCCCATTATCATTTACACCTGGCACCCCAAACTTACCTACCACACCCTCTCTAAAAGTTTCTCCTACTTTAGCATTCAGGTCCCCTACCACAATTACTCTCACTTGGTTCAAAGGCTCCTATACATTCACTTAACATCTCCCAAAATCTCTCTCTCTCCTCTACATTCCTCTCTTCTTCAGGTGAATACGCGCTTATTATGACCCACTTTTCGCATCCAACCTTTACTTTAATCCACATAATTCTTGAATTTACACATTCATATTCTCTTTTCTCCTTCCATAACTGATCCTTCAACATTACTGCTACCCCTTCCTTTGCTCTAACTCTCTCAGATACTCCAGATTTAATCCCATTTATTTCCCCCCACCGAAACTCCCCTACCCCTTCAGCTTTGTTTTGCTTAGGGCCAGGACATCCAACTTCTTTTCATTCATAACATCAGCAATCATCTGTTTCTTATCATCCGCACTACATCCACGCACATTCAAGCATCCCAGTTTTATAAAGTTTTTCTTCTTCTCTTTTTTAGTAAATGTCTACAGGAGAAGGAATTACTAGCCCATTGCTCCCGGCATTTTAGTCGCCTCATACGACACGCATGGCTTACGGAGGAAAGATTCTTTTCCACTTCCCCATGGACAATAGAAGAAATAAAGAAGAACACGAGCTATTTAGAAAAAGGAGAAAAACCTAGATGTATGTATATATATATATGCATGTGCATGTCTGTGAAGTGTGACCAAAGTGTAAGTAGGAGTAGCAAGATATCCCTGTTATCTAGCATGTTTATGAGACAGAAAAAGAAACCAGCAATCCTACCATCATGCAAAACAGTTACAGGTTTCTGTTTCACAGTCATCTGGCAGGACGGTAGTACTTCCCTGGGTGGTTGCTGTCTACCAACCTACTACCTAAACCTTATTAATATTACCCTAATTTACGTGGGAGTTTTTATTTTTTATGCAAATCAATTTTGCAGACTTAGAGCTGTTATCCTGCCTCAGGTCACTTAAAAGCTCAGCCTCATCCAAGGTACTACCACCCCCAGGATGCAACCCACAACAATTGACTAATATACTGCTAGGTGAACATGGACAGGTGAAAGAAAATATATCCAATGTTTTCACTAGCTACAGAACCTGTTTTTACATTAATGATATATGATACATAAAACCTCAGATTTTGTCAATTTTGGGCAAAAAAAATGACCGGATAAACGGTCCAGTCATGAACTAAATAGATAAAAGTCCACAATTTCTCATTCTGTCTACCTGGAGTTTACCTGGAGAGAGTTCCGGGGGTCAACGCCCCCGCGGCCCGGTCTGTGACCAGGCCTCCTGGTGGATCAGAGCCTAATCAACCAGGCTGTTGCTGCTGGCTGCACGCAAACCAACGTACGAGCCACAGCCCGGCTGGTCAGGAACCGACTTTAGGTGCTTGTCCAGTGCCAGCTTGAAGACTGCCAGGGGCTGTTGGTAATCCCCCTTATGTATGCTGGGAGGCAGCTGAACATGAATAGTGTCCGATTGAAATCTGAAGTATCAGGCCAAGTCCACTAACTCTGACGTTTATCCCATCCAGGCTAAAGCAGCCATGTCCAGGATCAGTCTGTTCTTATTGTTCCCCAAGTCATAGGACACCCATGACAATTTATTGTTTGTGCTCACTCAAGCATACACTTGTCATTCAGTCTAGTTTTCCCTGGGTTTACAGTATTCTGTGTGCCTTTATTAACATATAAAGGGCAACTAATACTGGCTTCTAAAGCAAGTGGTGGTGGCAAGAAGAAACTTGGTGTTCAAAAGAAACTTGAATTAATAAAGAAGGTTGAGTTTGTCTTCTTAGTGGCACCACTGGTTATGTGAAATTATGCTCTTCTTCAATTCAGAGAGGCTCAGGCACTGGAAGAGCTCACGACGGGCTGTTACATTAGAATAACTGTAACCTGGACAGAAAAGTGGAAAAGGCAGATAT